GAGATTTTCTGGATTGTTTGTAAGTTGAAGATCGTGAAGTGAGGTTTGTTGATGTGGAGAAGTTTGGATCCGGATTGCTTGAAGGTTTGTGACGAACCTGATGTAGTTTCTTGAGATTAATATGAAGTTATGATGAAGATCTTGTTGACTGTATATCTGGATCATGCTTTCGAAGATCAATATCTTCATGAAGAAGATGAAGATCTAAGTGTTGCATGTTGAACTTGTTGATTCTGGAGAAAATTGGTGGCAGGTCTAGAAAAAGATTAAAGAACATGGTTGAAGATACAAGGAAATCTGGAAAATTGCAAGAACAGGGGATGAACACAGTGACGTTTCTTGAATCAACTGGAAAACATGATGAAGATTTGAATGTGCGTATGGATCTGATGAAGAAATCTTGATGAACGGATGAACAATGAAGCAAATCTGGAAAATTATCATGAAGTTTGGATGAACATGATGAGTTTGCTGGAAAAATGATGAAGAACATATGAATTTTCCGGTGAGCGTATGAAGTTTCCGGCGAGTTTCCGGTGGTATTTTGATCCGTGTGATTTGTCTGGTGAGGGTGAATAGTGTTTGCATGTGAGGTGGCGTGTCAGCATTCAATGAAGAGAGAGAGAGAGAGAGAGAGAGAGAGAGAGAGAGAGAGAGAGAGAGAGAGAGAGAGAGAGAGAGAGAGAGAGAGAGAGAGAGAGAACTGTGCATTTATAGTCTGACACTTGTCACAGAAACTGACGCATTGGGCCTGCAAAACTTGATTAGTCACCTGATAAACATGATTAGTAAAGCTGGTTAATAATTAAAACACAGACTAACTATCAATTAATATTAACTAACTAAAATTAAAACAAAGTCTGATTAAAACCAACAGATGCCACGTGACCCTTCCTTAAAAACCTAATCAATTAATAGCAACTAAACAATTCTAACATAAATTAAAAACTCTAATTAAAACCTAAGAGAAACAAGTTTTAAGGGAGAAAACTAAACTATTAAAAACTAATATTCTAATAAACTCTTGAAAATATCAAAGCTATTAAAAATCTAACCAAATTCAATTTAGACTAATGAAACCTAATTAAAATCTAAATCATTCTAAAAATAAAAAAAGACCTAATATTCTACTAAACAAATAATATTCTACTAAACTCTAAAAAGATAAAAACCTATTTAAAATCTAATCTCTACACCAAAATTAACGAAATAAAATCTAGAAAATTGCTAATAAATCCAATGAAAAAAAACAATTAAATCAATTAACAAATAATGCGAGAATGTAACGAAATAAACGGTAAAAAAAAATCCGGACACCGAAATATCCTCAAAAATAACAGCGTAGACCGAATAATTGGGAATAACACAAACTCCAAAATAAGCCTCCTTATCTGACCTGGTTTGAATCGCCTGAGACGCGAGAAAAGGGATGTAATCCCGATAAAATCAATCCGGCTGAAAAAATGCACAGTATGCGATATGCAGATGCAAATGCAAAATGAATCGAAATATAAGGCAAATTGCGAGAAACGGTTGGTCAAATTTTGGGGTACAACAAAACAGAAAAATTTCTAAGTGTTTTTAATCTTTTAACAACTTGAAACCTCAACTTTCACCATCAATTTCTTCCACTTCAAGAAAGCTTTTGGATTCAAATTTTCATCAAATTGTAGTATCAAAAATCACTTTTGATTGCAACTCTTAAGTGTTTCAATTGAATACTTGAGGAGGAAGTTACAACCTTGGGAAGTTGGTCACATGGACATGAATTTTTGGTACCTAGGGAAATTTTCAAAACCCTAAATTTGACAACTTTGATCCTTTTCTTAATTTTCTTGATTTAACTTGATCAAATTCAACAATTTCCCACACTTTTTTGATTCTTGACTTGAGAATTCCATGGTTGATCACAAATGCCAAAAGTAAAACTTTGACTTTAAGCATCTGTTGACTTTTCATCAATTGAATCAAAATTCTTCAACTATCAATAAATCAAACCTCTTGAGCTATTTAAATCATATGAATGGACCATAATAATGTATTTGAAGCCTTTAGATCATGCTCCAATCCATGAGATCATGTTTTGGTCAAAAAGTCATCATTAAGCTGATTTTGACCAAAACCCTAATTTGGAGCACATTATGAATTGGAACTTGATGAACTTGAATTGATGCAACCTCAAAATTGATTATTGATGAAGGGAATCTCTTGATCACCATGAATAAGTGGAGGAGCTTGTGATATTGAGGATCACACTAAACCCTAATTGATCAACCACTTGAACTCCTTGAGGCAAAACCCTAACTTGTAACCAAAGCAAACAAGACATATTATTTGTATTTTATGGGGTTAGCAAAACATAAAAACACACACATAAATGATTGATGTTATGCAAATGAAGGTGGGATCTTAGGGGTAAAAATTAGGGTATGACACCTTCAGTCCACCCACCAAGGTGATTTAGCCTTATCATAAGGAGCTAATCCACTATAACCAAACTGATTACAACCACAAAGACTAATTGTCAATGTCTTCTTGAGTAATTCTGACTATACCCTAGTCACTCAAGTAACTACAACTCGAAAATGGGATACAAAGTGTGTTTACAAGTTGCTTCAAAAGCAGATTACACAAATGAAACACAAAGAATTACAAAAAAAAAAATTCTGATGACGTCACACGTCACTTTTTCAGAGTCAGAACTTGTATATTGTATCTGCACACTTAACAAAACATAAGGTCAGGTGAATAACCGAATCTTGTTCTTACAGACTCTTACTTCTATTAGTCAAGAGGGTGAATGGTTGAGGGACCTTCCGTTGGAAGTTCCATGGGCCAAAGACAACATTTCAAAGGTGTTGATACATTGCGATAGTCAAGCCACTTTATCTAAAGCATTCAACAAAGTGTATAATAGAAAGTTCAATGTCGAGAATACGCATCTTAAGAAAATAGACACACTATAAACTACACCTATGTGAATTTTAAGTTGGTGTCGTCTCAAAGTGAGAATTGGAATTTCTCTCATGAAAAGTTCATGAAATAGGAAAAACACATTGCCATAAATAATGTTATGCAAGAAATGTAGGAAAAGAACCATTAAATAGTGTGTGTTGTGTAACGCCGATTTAATCACAAAGGATAACAAGTTTAAAACATTGTTACCTAAAATTATGATTAGACTTTGCATTGTCCTTACTAATGTTAAGTTTAAATCGAAAGATACTTAACTGTATTAACATTCTTTTTTTTTCCCTTTTTTGGAATTGGTCTTGTAATTATTAAAACAAATGGGTGGTTGTTGTAATTAGTAACATTAATCATCCGTATAAGTGCTCCAAAATGAAAAAAAATACAATTGAGAAAATTTACAATAAATGCATGAGAAATAATTTGAAAGCCTTTATAAAGAGTTATATTAATTAAATCAACAAAAGAGCTAAAAAGGATAAAGTATCACATGGACAAGTGTGGTGGTCCCAAACATCAAGCCATTTACACCCTCTAGTCGGTGTCGCCACCGTCGATAAGACTGAGACTGAGGGCGTAGGCGTAGAGGCACTAGTGGCGGCTTATAGGCGAAACTTGAGAACTTAGTTACAACACATCAGAGCAACCAGGCTACTTGCAGTGTTATACAATAACATTTTTACGACCACACACGACAATGGTCGTTGCTCTTGTTTTTTATGGTCATTGTTTAAGTTTGAACTTTGAACTCAAAAATAGGTAACACTTCGTGAAGTGTTGCAAAATGCAAATAGTCAATGTTTGAAAAGTGATGTTGTATGCGAAACAATATAGTATTTGAGTTTTCATCAGTCTTGTGCAATCTTAAGTATTCATGTGTGTAGACTCTAAGACATTCTGAGAGTGCTTGAAATACTAATAAAAAAGTGATTTTGTTCATGATTTAAGTCTGGACCCATTCGATTTTAAAACTTTATCTAACATATTGTTGCGTCTAACATTAGTTCTACAAAGTTGATAGGTTGTGATTCAAGAATTAGATCTTTTTCCTTTTCAACATTGTCTGTAACTACAACAGATTATAATTGTCAAAAATTCATCAACTTTTTCTACAGTAATAAGTAGCTCAACATTCTCTTCACCTAGTTTCTCAGCAACCAAATTTGGAAGATGAAAAAGAAGGAAAAGGGTAGAAAAGAAAGGAGCACAAAGGAAAAGAGAAAGGAAAAGAGAGAAACAAATTGATCTTTCATTTAGAAATTAGAGTTCTTATATGTTATTTATTAATTTATTATTTTATAAATTATTTAATCAATTATTGTGTAATTAATGAGGTGTTATTCATTAACACATATATTATTCATGTCACCATATCTTCCACGTCATATTTTTTTTACCAAAATAAGAAAGATCAAAACTGTTTAAAAATTAATATGAGAAATTAAACTCAAATAGAATATTATGTTTTTATCAATTTCAACGATTTAAATAAAAATATGATTCTGGATAGAACATTATATTTCTTTTATTATTTATTATAAGCAAATTTTAGTTTTTTTAAATTTATTAAATAATTAATATATTTAATTTATATATAAATTAAATATATTAATTATTTAATAAAATTAATAAAATAAAATTTAATTGTTGCAGTTGAATTTCATTAATGAAACTCATAAATTTTACTACCATTAAATAAATTAAAAAATATCTTATTGCTAAAAAATGATGATATAATCTCGGTATTCTTTTTTATGAAATAATCTCGGTAATAACATTAATTGCTCGAGAAATAATGATATAATCTTATTACTAACATTCTTTAGCTGTATATAACTCATATTTGAACATTTATTTATAATAAACTTGAAAGGCTAGACATCAATGGTTTATAACCAAGTTGGTTGAGACAACAAGCTTTATTTTCTAGGTCACGAGTTCGAAACTTCGATATTCACTTTTCATCGAAAATTTACTTTAATTTTTCTCTGTTTATAGATTTCTGATTCATCTTGTTCGTCTGCAACGCCATGGATAAGAATCCAAAGAAAACTCTTCGAAAGGTAACTAACTAACTCAAAACCCCCAAATCCCTTTCTCTGAAAAGTGCTTTTCAATTCAAATCGATTCCGTTTTCTTTCTTCGCAGATCAAGTACGCTCCAAAAATTCCCCGGACGAAATCGAGACCTCAATCAACGAAAATGTAACCCAACAAAAATTCGATTTTCATAAAATCACTTCAAATCGCTTTCTGATTCTTGAAATTGTTTCGATACAGCGAAGAAGAACGCGTTGAAGAAGATGAATACAAGAGTGATGAGATTCAAGCTACCATTCGTCGTTTGAAGGTGAGTTTTTGGATTATGAGTACTATTTTTGTTATTGTTGTTTAAGTAATCTGATTACTTGTTGCTAATTTTGATTAGTTTAAGTTAATGACATCTGAACTTGTGTTTCGCTTGTCAGAAGAACAAATAATAACAGTAATTCTTTTTCAAAAGTGTTGAATAAAAATCGGAGATCTTCTTTGTAAGAAAAATCAATAAAAAAAGTTTTCCAAACAACTCTATGAAATAAAATAAAGTCACTATAATTAGAATCAGAATCAGATAATTCGTTGGTTTGAGTCGGATCTAAAACTTAAGTTTGACGCAAATTGTGATTTTATTATAAAGATCTTATTTTGACCGATTAAATTTTAATTTTTGACAAATTGCAATTAAATTGATTTTATTATGACAAATTGCAATTTTATTAGAAAACATTTGATCGGTTTTTATTGCAAGAAATCCATAAAAATGGCTAATTTTTTATAAAATTCTTAACATTCATTTAAAAATGCTTTTTTTAATAAAACTATCAAAATTTTAAATTAGCCAAACTATTTTTTATTATTTAAAAAAGTTATTATTATATAATAATATTATTAATATTTGACATTGATTTAGTCATTATCATACTTTAGATACATATATTATATAGTATTCAAAATTTCATCAAAGTTTCATATTATATGTTTTGTATTCTTGTACACAAATGTTATTATTAAATTATAAAAATAATAATAATTTGACAACATTATGAATTTTATTTTCATAATAAGTCAATTTTACATTAATAAAAATAAATAAAATAAATATTTGTTGAGATTGGTTGAGTTTGATTTCAGATAAATCTAAAATGATCATTCAAACTCGACCAAAGTAACCTTATATAATTCAAATTAAACAACAGCATCCCGACACCCGATCTAATCCGTTTTCCCAAAATAGATAATGGATCCGCGGATATCAATCGAACAGTAAAAAACTATAACTATAGCTATAAGCAATTTATACATCGAACAGTAAAAAACTATAACTATAGCTATAAGCAATTTATACAAAACTCATTTTCTGTGTGCTAATGTCTCATATAAAATGTGTTTGGATTGAGTTATTTAGATTCAGACTAGTATATAATATTGTAAATGTCATTAACATAATTACACGTATTAAAAAATGAGTTAAGTGTCAGCCACTATGAGCTCCATCCATATTTTGTTATTCTGTTCTACTTCACAATTGAAGTATTCAGAATTATTAGAATTGATTTGGATATGTTTAGTTGATGTAATTGATTCTGTTTTTCATAATTGATTTTAATTGAAATTAGAATTTGTAATTTTTGGATTTAAATGTAATTTTTATCCTGAAATTTACTATTTAATTCACTTTTTTTATCAAAAATTTACTTAAATATAAATCACTTTATCTTCTATTCACTTTTAGTTAGAACTAATTTTATATAATTAATTTATTCAGAATCAATTTTTTTACCACATAACGAACTCCACTAAAAAAGAATTGAGTGAATATTTTCTATACTCCATATGTTGTTATTCTATTCCATTTTTGTTATGTATCAGACGTAACAAGACATAACACATGTGAGATGTTCTCCTCTAATTCTAACCTGTCGACCAGAAGCTATCATAGTATTATAATATATTCAAACTACTAAGGTGACAGGCATTGAAATCCTGAATAGAACATATTACATGCTCTGCTAATGTCTATAAAAACAAAATCTCTGTTAATTCTATAAAAAAATTCTACTAAAATATATCAAAAGGTAGCAAATATTCAGTTTATAAATTATAAAAGATATGCATGTCGTCTTTGAGGGCGTGTAAGGCGTACTACAACAGATGACTCACAATTTATCGCGGTTAAACTATGACTAAATAGAGTCTCTTAAAATATTGTCACAGTTAAATCACACATAAATATGACTTCTATTTATTTTGCTATGGTTAAACTGCAGCTAGGCTTAGAGGGTCTTCAAAAACATGAGATGACTTTGAAGATATGTTAATGATGCCTTTTTTTCTTTTACTTTTCAGTATTGCTAAACTGACATGATTTTGTTTTTTATCTGTATTATATATATTGCAGGAAAATACTGCGAGACGCCAATCTAAAGTTGAAAAACAATGTAATTTCTCCTTAGATTTGCAAAACATTCTTTCTATCTGTGTTCACCTTTTTATATGTCAAAAAACATGGCATAACATTAATAATGACTCTATTTCAGGATAGTCGTGGTGTTAAGAGACATATTACATTTTCGAATGCCAGAGAATTATTTACTTTCAAATGTATTCGATGTGATATATCATGTTTTTTCTTCACAAACCATCACATTCTAAAACACATTTTTCTCAACTTTCTACAACACTATTCTATTCATCTTGTTTGTTGCTTAGTTTTGGTGATTAAAACTTGCAGCCAGAGTGCAAGATGCATTTCCTGGAAGTTCATCACTTTCCCCGAGAACACTTCGCAGTGGTAGTAAAAGAAGTGGATTAGAATTGAATTTTTCTGCTAATGAGAAAAATGGTTCAACATATTCTTCAACTTCAATTGAAGATTTCTATACTTCTGTGATGCATGCCACTGATGATTCCACCGATGAAGAAGACTACAAGGAACTATGGGTGAGAAATTTTCTCATCACTTTTATATTTTCTTCTCATTTGTATTTTTCTCATACGTATAAGTATATGAACCTTTAAATTAACTACAGAATTGTCCGGACTCGATCTATCCTGTTACTCTTCCTTTGAGGAAACCCAATTCTGGAAATCCAGGTTTGATGAGGATATTATTATTAGCAATAACTAGTTCTACGAGATATTTGGTTTTGGCATTAACAATTATGTGTTGATTTATAAACTAGCAGCAATTCTTGATGAGGAAGAATTTGGAGTGGCTGCTACTAATGTGGAATATGACGATAAACCTCTTAATTCTGCCGAAGAACTCGGGCTGTTGGTAAGTAATCAGAATGACATAATATGAAACTAATTATGCAGCTGTAACTTTGATATAATGCAGAGATTTTTTATGCAGGACCATAGTGAGCAACCAAAGATGATTATCTTTCAACTTCCGACTGTACTGCCTGGTATCAAGCAACCGGTGAGCCGGAAGGGGAAGGAAAAAATGGGTGCGTCAAACTCAGCAAAGCCGAAAAAGGGGAGTAACTTGTTGCAGATTCGGAGTGGATGTATCGGCAAAATGCAGGTGTATAAGAGTGGAGCAGTCAAATTAAAAATTGGAGAAACCCAGTACGATGTAAGTACTATCCATGTTGCAAGTACAAAATCTATTTAATTTCTTCATATGGGATTCAATCTAATTGTAAAATATGCAACAGTGAGTTTGACGATCCCAAAAAAATTATCTCGTATTTTTGGTTATTTTAACATTTTTAACTTTGACTAATGAATGCATTTGATAACAATTTAGTTTTTGTTTCTTATAAAGGTGTCTGCAGGTACAAAAACTATATTTTATCAAGATGTTGTTGCAATTAACCCTGGAAAGAAAGACTACTCGGTACTCGGGGCGGTTACCGCTAACACAAAGGCAGTTGTAACTCCTGATCTTGATTCCGTTGATTTGTTAAAAGACTGAGGCTAAGTACATGATTAAGTGTCATTGTAAGGGGATCACGGCTTATGTGAATAGGATAAATATTTTGTGAATCATCTGATGATTGGAAGTATAAACTAGGCAGTAAAATTAGTCTGACATTGGTGGAATATCAAGAGTAAAATTGAACTAGTGTTATCGCGTTGTAGGAATACTTAACTTTCTGTATGTTGAACTAAGGTCATTGATGAGTAAAAAAAAAAACCTAAAATCATCGGAAAAACGATAATATTTAACTTGCTTCGATGCTTCTGGTCCTTCTTGATTAGTAAATATTAATATGATTAGCCTACAAGAGAACCTCAATATGAGAAATAACTATGCTCGACCAAGTTCTTTTACTTATATATTGCATTGATTTTGAGGAATGAAAACCAGATTAAACATGACAGATAGTTTAGGATTAGAGAACTACTCCATATGATAATTTACCAATAGAACTATATGCCAAAAGGACCAAAAACAGAGTCACATTTAGAAAGTTTTGCATGTGCAAGATAACCCAAGAGTCCAAAAGAATTGTCTGGTAATGTAGTTATATTGCGCCCTATCTTTGGACACGACCCACCACCACAATCAACAAGATCATGGTCTTGTAATTATCTTTGGACACGATGCAACTCAGGCGTAATTATTTTGGACACGACGCACCACCACAATCAACAGGATCATGATCGAAAGCATGAAAGCAGCCCTCAGCTTCTCAATAAAGGGCTGAGAATCTTCTGTATGGGCGGCTGTCTTGTTCGATGATTGTTGAAAAAGACTGGTTACAATCTTGGTAATTTTCTCAATTACTTCCAAGAATTTGGTTCTGGCGGTCTTTAACAGCAAAATCAAAACATTTGTTGACTTATCGGGGTCATCATTAGCAATCTCATCTAGGTTCCAAAGTTTGTGCTCTTGATCTGCAAATTTCATGTCCAGATTAGTCTAATTTTAATTCCTTTGTCCACAAGCAAGTAGGTCAGAAATCTATAATATCAACAATACAAAACTACAAATGAAATCGAACCAAAATTCTAAACACGAACCTGCAGATATCGTCTCCCTGAGCTCTTGAACAACTTCGTTGTTCAGAACAGCTTCCCAAACAGCCTCATCAGTTGATAACGATTTTACTAATCTCTGTAGCAACAAGACCTTTATTCATTAAATATATATAATAATCAAAATCCACAAACACAATATATTTTGATTGGCAGATTAAAACATTCGGATGGTATAACTACTAAAGCTAACAAAATTTATCTTTTACAAATAATTTTTGCAGAAATATTATCATAGAGCATAGACTGCACCTGGACAGATGGATCAGTTTGTAATAAGTGAATTGCATGATAAAATTTATCAGATCCACTATCTTGTAGCGTTTTTGGATTTAACGGAAACAAAAATGGTTCTATCCAGTCTGTATCCGAATCGCCTTCAGATATTCGGCCAACATGGCTTAGCGCCTTTTCTGATTTGTTGCAATACATGTCCCTATGAAGCTCGACATGAGAAGCAAGCCCTAAGACCCTGCACGTAAACTGAAAGATGTGTCACTGACCTCAAAGTGCAACAACCAAATTTGTTAAACACAAACTCTGATAGTTCATGACAAAATTTAGAAGATTGAACTGTTCACATTCTTAACATTAGAAAATCGAATTCAAAACCCAACTTGCAAAACTGCAGTGACCAAATTTAAGATGAAAATTTGAACTCTCCACATTCCGACTTCAACAATAGAATACAAAACAAACTCAAAAAGTTCACTTTAGTGAGAAAATTTACTATGAAGATTGATCCTTCATGTTTGGACTTGAGAAAAACAAATTCAATACACAAACGCCAACATTGCAGTCAGCAAACTTTAGATTCCTAAAATTGATTGCGTCCCTAAACACATTTTAGGTTTTGTGGTGATAAATCAAATCCGAAACACAAACACAAGTGACCTAATGAGATAATTTTATTTTAAAAATAGACTCCTTAAATTCCATCGTCAGCTAATTAGATTCAAAACACAAACTCAAATAATGAAAATGTCTGATCTTCATCCAAACAATATGAGACAAACATAACATATATGGAATGATAATTGGTTCTCTAATTGGTTTTGGAGTAAAGAAAATTGATTTTGAGTGAATTGATTCTATAAAGTTGATTCCAATTAAAGTGAAGTAAACATAAAGTTATATATATTTGAATAAATTTCAATTCAATAATAAATTTTAATGTAAAAGTCACGTTTAAATCAAATACTACAAATCTTAATTTCAAGTATAATTAATTCTGAATAGCATAATCAATTCTAATTGAGCACAACCACACATGTCAAAATCAATTTTACACATTCATAATCAATTTGCATTCCAAACTTGAAACCAAACATACACAATGCATTACCCATCATTATCAACATAGTTCTAAATTGCAATCCACAACCACAACCGCGCAACCGAGGCCTAATACAAAATTCTTACAATTCTCCACAACATCATCATAATTCATAACAGCAATTGCATATGAAAACTCTAATATCAAGCTTTGTAGCGCGATTTCAACCACAATTTCAACCATGATGATTACCAAAATCACTTCAATCAATAAAATTCATATACAAGATAACAATTCTAAGTCAAAATAACACAAACAGAAGGTTGAAATAGAAATCAAGGAAGAATGATCTGCTTTAATACCGTTGGAGAGAAGCGAGAGCATCATGAACCTCAGCCTGAGAAGGAGGAGAATCAATGAAACCACCGCAAAATCGACGTGTAACAGCATCATGATGAGAAGAAAAGGGGATTGATGATTTGGTTTTGCAGGTTCGCGTAGAGGAAGAAAAGCCGCGAAATTTCATTGTAATTGTGAAGTGTTTATGTGAAGGAAAACTACAATTATATTATTTGAATGAACGTTGACGCTGGTTTAACCAAACAATTGGAATCACATTTTTGAAGAGATAGAGATATATTAATACACAAATCATAGTTGATTCTTTTGGGGGAATATGTTCAAATAAATTTATCGTTTTTTCTTCAATGTAATTTATAACATATGCTAAAATATTAAATAGTTTTTAAATTGGAATTAATGGATATGCACTAAAATAGTAGCGTCATTCAATAAAAAAAATCAATAATCTATTGTGTCATTAATTTTTTTAAAAAATATAAACGTAATGTGACGAATACACCGTCATCATTGACTGACAATATAAAAATAATTTACATGCTGAATGTATCACCTCTTTTCTCTTTTAAATTATTTTTCTATTTAACTTTTTTCTTAAATTTGACCCTTAAATATTTAAATTGATAACATTTATGAATATAATTAGGTTTAATACATTTTTTGACCCTTTAATTTAATTTAAAGTTTTGTTTATGTCATTTAACTAAAAAAATATTATACAGTAGTCCATTTACTAACTTTTCTTTATTTGAATTGGTCTCTGTCATTAATTTTTCAAAAAAAAAAACGTTAAGTTTTGTCTTACTAAACATTTAAAATCTAACCTAGAATTTTGTTATTTTAGATTAATTTAAAATTTTGAAATAAAAAAAGAAAGAAAAAAAGGTGAAATGTATTAAGGCAATGTTTTAGGATTCATTTTAAGTAAGAGAATATCATTTTTAGTGAGAGAACACAAGAGAAACGAAAGCTTGAGCTCTCTTTTAGTTGAAGACGAAACCGATATTGTTCACAACCTTCATTGAAGATGAAACCAATAATGTTTCCAATCTTCATTGAAGACGAAACTGATACTTTTCACAACCTTTGTTGAAGGCAAAACAAAGACATTTGAAGAAGAAATCATAAGGTACGAATACTCAACTGTAAATTACTAAAAATGTAAAAAAAATTCTTTAACCATCTTCCTTACTACTTCTTATATCTTATGTAGATTGAATAGGTGATGGAGAAGAGGTTTCAGTGTATTGTGCATCATGGTGGTGAGATTTCTAAAGAGTTTTCTAAGTTTTCCAAGTTAGGTTGGTTAGAGGAAATTTGGAATGTTAATCCTGATTATTTGAGTTATTTTGAAATTTTAGACAAGTTAAAAGACTTGGGTTATCCAATTGTAACTAGTCTTTGGTATTATGATGAAATGGATGTTAATGACATTATTCTGTTGGAAAATGAAAAAGGAATTAGGAGGATGAAAACAATTGTAGTTGTGACTAAGACATGTCATTTATGTTATTCATCCTCTTTCACAACCTGGCGTTATTGAGGAACCTATACTTTCCCTAAAAAGGATGACTTTAAAGAGGGAATAAGAAACTATGTTATACATTCTGGAAGAAACCTGAAATGTAAGAAAAATGATAAAATAAAAAAAGGATGAGAGTGATATGCAAGTCTGGTTGTTCATGAGAGACATGGAGAGGATTTTTTCCTCTACTACTTCATCATCACATCCTCCAACTTCTGGTGCTTGGAAAGGTATTATGGATCAGCTCGTATTAGAGAACATCGCCATGAAAGTCAACTATTAGAGAGAGATTAAGAGACTCCGAAGGAAGTATCAGCTCGAATCGTCATCAGATGATCCTTAGGATCTAGCTTTTTCTTATTGAATTTTGATCTTATGTAACTTGTACTTCCAAGTGTAACTCTTTCCAACATTCAATTAAATGAGATGTTTATCAGTATTTCAAAAAGTGTTATTTCTTTACGATGTTTGTAATTTCTTTATATCTTAAAGATCCTTGAAAGCCGATTGAAACATTTGCATTTTGCATTTGCATTCCCATATTGTGCATTGTGTTTTTCCTTTTCCAAGTGTCTTATATTTCTTTTGGTTTTTGTTCAGCCAAGCAATCGCATCACCACAACCCTCGAGCTAATCTCAAGAAAAAGATGGATCAATTACAACAAGAGAACTGCGAGCTCCGTGAAGAGGTGAAAACTATGAAGGATAGTATGGAGAGACTCACTACTGCAATAGAAGCTCTGGTGGCTGCTCAAAATCCGCCACCACCGCCTCCTCCTTCTCTTGTCTAGAGGATTGTGATATCTGAGATCGTATCAACACCTATTTTTGTGGCCCCAGTTAATGCTTCTCAATATTAGATGCCTCTTGGCTTCCCTTGAAGCATGCCTCTCAATTTTGTGCCAGAGGGATATCAACCTCCTGCTTTCGAAGGTCCAAGAGTTCCTGCCGTTATGACGGTACCACCTTTGGTGGTTAATGTCGTTCCTAATGCTGAGATTCCAGTTGTTTCTACTACTGTGCCTGTGCCACCACCCATAGTTCACACTACGCCTTATGCTAAAGAGAAAATTTTCCACATTGCTCCGAGCGAGAGTTTGGATGATCATATGGATGATTCTCAAGATCAGTTTGTTGAGATGCAAAAGGAAATCAGGGCTTTAAGAGGAAAAGAGTTATTTGGAAAGAATGCTCACGAGCTTTGTCTTGTCCTAAATGTGAAGATTTCTGCCAAGTTCAAGGTTCCAGATTTTTAGAAATATAAAGGGAACACATGTCCACAAAGCCATTTGGTCATGCATTCCAGAAATATGTCCATCCATACTGACAACTATCAGTTGCTGATTCATTATTTCCAAGATAGTCTTACCGATGCTGCACTAAAGTGGTACATGGGACTTGATAGTTCCCAAATCAAGACATTCAATGATCTCGGAGAAGCTTTTATTCGTCAGTATAAGTATAATCTGGATATGGCGTCGGACCATGATCAAATCCGTGCAATGTCTCAGAAAGAGAAGGAAACTTTTAAAGTGTATGCACCGAGATGGTGCGAGATTTCAGCTCAGATAAGCGATCTGCTTGAAGAGAAAGAGATGACCAAAATCTTCCTGAAGACTTTGGGTCCGTTTTACTATGAAAAGATGGTTGCGAGTGCTCCTAGTGATTTTATGGAGATTGTTAATATGGGAATGAGATTAGAGGAAGTTGTCTATGAGGGACGTCTGACAAAAGAAGGTAGTTCTGGAACTGCGAAGAAGTTTGATGCTGGTTTTCTGAGAAAAAGGATGGAGAAAGCAATGTCATATCTCAAGAGAGGTCTAGAAGACACAGGGTCGTAAAGCAACAAGTAGATTATGTTACGCCCATCATCAGTGCCGCTCAAGCTACTTCAAATTATCAACCACGATTCCAACTGAAAACACAGCAAAATAATCAGCAAAGTCATGTTCAGAAGAAAGTGAAATTTGATCCCGTTCCGATGTCGCATGCTGAATTATTTTTGGCTTTGATAAGGAAGAATTTGGTTCAGACTCGTGATCCGCCAGATGTTCCTACATATATTCCATGGTGGTATAAGCCAGAGGCCCATTGTGCATTTCATCAGGGCACCCCTGGGCATGATATTGAAAAATTGTTACCCCTTGAAATACGAAATGGCAAAGCTTGTAAGAAGTGGTATTCTGTCTTTTGAAGACACCAATTCCAATTTGCAATCAAATCTGTTGCCTAAGCATGGTAACAAGACTGTCAATATGATTCAAGGTTGTCCTAGCACATACCATACTTTTTCTACAACTGCAATTCTTGAAGAAGACTCTGAAGATTATATCTCAGGAGGTTTTGAAGATGATTTCATTCATGCTCAAGATTGCGAGCCTTATTTGGAAGATCCTAGATACATTTTGAGATAGAAGATGCATATGTACCCTTTTACTCTCCTCGACCGAGACTTAAGGAACCTTAATATGAAGTCAACATCATCATTGAGGATGATCAAGAGGAGGAAACACCCAACTTTGTGACGCGTGGATTGATATGCCAGAACTGGATCACTGTTAACATTCCTATTGTTGTTCATGTTTCAAAGTAATTTGTTTTTGTTTGTTTCAAAAATCCTTTCACTCTGCCCGAGGTGAAAGTGAATTTGTGAGGGTTTTGTTTCAATTTTTATCATCATCAATAAAATATTATTCTGTTTATCCATTTATGTTTTTCCTTTTTTATTTATTCTGAAAAATGGTAACATAAAAAATCAAAAAATAATAATGTGTTAATCACCTTTATCTGCATAATATTTGCACTTCTTGTTCATTGTGCAGATTGTTTGTTATAACCATTGAAAACAATGACCTTATGCCCTCTCCCAACTTTGAGTTCCCTGTGTTTGAAGTGGAAGAAGAGGATGTTAAAGAAATTCCAGATGAAATTTCTCGGTAGCTTAAGCACGAGGAAAAGACTATTCAGCCTCATAAAGAGCCGGTGGAATTGGTTAATTTGGGTTTCGATGGTGATAAGAAAGAAGGCAAGATTGGGGCACTGCTTCAGTCAGATGTTAAGAAGAGGACGATAGAGCTTCTTATAGAATATGTTGATGTGTATGCTTGGTCCTATCAAGACATGCCTAGTCTTGATACTGATATTGTAGAGCACCATTTGCCATTGAAGCTTGAACGCCCACTTGTGAAACAGAAATTGAGAAGAACTCATCCCGACATGGATGTGAATATTAAAGAGGAGGTTCCGAAGCAATTAAATGTTGGTTTTCTTGTGACTGTTGAGTATCCTTAATGGGTAGCCAATATTGTGCCTGTTCTAAAGAAAGACGGAAAAGTACGAATGTGCATTGACTATAGAGATTTGAATAAAGTAAGTCCGAAAGATGATTTTCCACTGCCACACATTGATATGCTGGTAGATAACACTGCTAAGTTCAATATCTTTTCCTTTATGGATGGATTTTCTTGTTATAATCAAATAAAGATTGCACCTGAGGATATGGAAAAGATAACATTCATTACACCCTGGGGAACATTCTGTTACAGAGTGATGCCCTTCGGTTGGAAAAATGCTGGTGTAATGTACCATAGAGCTATGACCACTTTGTTCCATGATATGATGCATATAAAAATTGAGGTCTATGTGGATGACATGATTTGCAATTCGAAGACTAAAGAAGATCATATTGAATACTTATTGAAGTTGTTTCAACATTTTAGAAAGTTTAAGAGCTCCGTCTAAATCCTAATAAATTCACTTTTGGTGTCTGTTCTGGAAAGTTGTTGGGCTTTATTGTCAGTCGAAAACGCATTGGAGTTGATTCTTGTAAAGTTAAAGCTATTCAGGAAATGCTTGCACCCAAAAAAGAGAAACAAGTAAGAGGATTATTGGGATGTTTGAACTATATCTCCCGATTTATATCCAATATGACTGCCACATGTGCGTCGATCTTCAAGCTTCTTCGTAAAGATCAAGGTTGTGTATGGACATAGGATTGTCAGAAAGCTTTTAAAAGAATTAAAGAGTATCTTCTTGAACCTTCTATCTTGTCTCCTCCCATGGAAGGAATACCTTTAATCATGTATTTGACTATGCTGGAAGAGTCTATGGCCTGTGTTCTATGTCAACAAGATGAATCTGGTCGAAAAGAATTTTCCATTTATTATCTAAGCAAGAAGTTCACCGATTGTGAGTCTCGATACTCAATACTTGAAAAGACATGTTGTGCTTTAGCTTGGGATACTAAGCGCCTCCGCCAGTATATCTTGAATCGTACAACTTGGTTGATATCTAAAATGGATCCAATCAAGTATATCTTTGAAAATCCTGCTTTAACTGGGAGGATTGCCCGTTGGCAAATGTTGTTGTCAGAATATGATATCGAGTATCGAACTCAAAAAGAAATAAAAGGAAGTGCTTAGGATGATCATTTGGCACATCAACCAATTGATGATTATCAACCTATCAGGTTTGATTTTCCTGATGAGGATGTGATGTATCTGAAGGTTAAAGATTATGCGGAACCATTACCTAAAGAAGGGCCTGAGCCTGGATCTTGATGGGGTTTAATTTTTGATGGAGCTGTTAATGAGTATGGCAATCGTATTGGAGCAATTATTGTTACTTCTTATGGTTCTCATATTCCTCTTACTGCAAGGTTGGTGTTCACTTGCACAAATAATGTTGTAGAGTATTGATCGGGAAAATAGCAAGTGTACTATTTTTACCAATTGTAGTAATAAGGGAAAAGCCCCAAGTATCGATCTCGAGGACTGCGTAGTAATTAACGGGATTTTTAGGATTCAAAGGAACAAAAGGTCTAGTGGTTTGTTTGGTAGCAGAGTAATATAACAAGTAAATAAAGACTTATAAATCAATCTAAGAACAATGTTAGGGGAGTGGAGACGATGCGAGTAAAGACCATGTATGATTATTCTGCTATAATAGTTATTAACCTTAATTCATCAGTTGGCCAATTTAGTTTTCTTAATTCCTTAATGAAAACCCTTTGATGAGTT